TTTTAACTGCATGTCAGTTTATTAACCAAATCTAATGCTAAGTACCATTTAAAGCTAGGTACAGACAAAACACACCATTTCATTGAGAGAAGTATCTTCAGTTGTTGCATTTTAGCAATCCAGAGGGCTTTCTTCCATAGTTTGGTTGGTTTCATTTGATAGTCCATTGATAGAGCTCTCAAACACAGCAGTTGGTATGGGGGAAGGGTTTTCTTCTGGAAGATTTGAAAGGTTTGAGTAAGAGCTACTTCTCCCAGATGAATCTGGGGTGAATCTATTCTCCATCACAGGCAAACCTTCAATGGGTGACAAAGATGTGGTGCATGGGGATTTACCGAGGAAAGTTCTGTTCAGAAATGATCTTTATGAAAGTGACCTGGCGGAATCTTCTAAGGTACACACATATCTTCTTAACTTTTTTAATGAAGTTCTAAATCAAGTAAATGGTTTGAACCCGAGAGTATCGTTACATGTTTGTAAATGTAGATCGTCCAGGTTAGTAGAGTCCTGAGAAAGACTGTTTTTGTTGTTGTTGACTGACGACGTTTCGACAACCTTAGCGGTAGTCATCTTCAGAATCAAATGAGTAGTAAACGTCAGGTTAGCGGTATTTGTTATTTGGTTCTTACGTCATTGTATTGTGTGTACAGGAAATGTGTATTATATGTTTGTAAATGATGATCGTCCAGGTTAATAAAGTCCTTAGAAGGACTATTTTTGATGTTGTTGACTGACGTTTCGACAACCTTAGCGGTAGTCATCTTCAGAGTCAAATGAGGAGTAAACGTCAGGTTAGCCGTATTTGTTGTCTGGTTCTTACGTCATTGTATTGTGTGTGTGCAGGAAATGTATTGTCATTGTGGATTAGTGTGAAGTGAAATATTTTATTTTTAGTTGTGATGTGTGATTTAGGTGTGACGTTTTAGTTTAGTATGTGGGTGTCAATTGTATTGTCATTGTGAATTAGTTTGAAGTGTAATGTTTTTAGTTGATCGTTTGTTTGTATTGTGAATAAGTCGTTTGTAAGGTGCCGGTAATTGCTGTGATCTGTTCAGGGGTTTGTTCCAAGTTGGTATACCAACTTTCTAATGTAAGCCGTTGTCTATAGTCAGTACTGTAAGTGATGCATTTTGCCGAGTCCCAGTCAATGTTGTGCTTTGTGATTCGGTGATGTTCGGCAATGTGATTAGTTTTGTCTTGTTTCTTAGTAACTCGTTTGTGCTCAGTAAGTCTTATGTTTAAGTTCCTGCCAGTTTCGATATAGGAGGCGTGGTAGTCGGAGCAGTTTATTTTGTAAACTGCACCTTGTCGTTGGGTTGTTCTTTGTCCTTTATGTTCGTTAGTACTTGTCGTAATGTTGTGATTGGTTTATGTGCGACACGTATGTTGTATGATCGTAAGATACGCGAGATAGTCTCAGACGTACCTTTGATGTAAGGTATCGTTGCTGTTGTCACTGAGTTGTTCGTTTCGTTGGGCTCGTTGGGTTTGTAAGTGTTGCGTTTGATAAAGTCAGAGTTATAGTTGTTTTTGTCAAAACACGTTTGAGATAGTTGTTTTCGTTTTGTAGAGCGTCCGGTGAATCACATATGATTTGTACGTCTTGTTAATGTTCTGATTGTGGTGGCTTTGTGTGATGTAGGGTTGTAAGATGATTGGTCCAGTAGTCGGTCAGTATGTGTTGGCTTGCGATAAACTGTTGTTCCTAGTTTTTGATTGTCATGTTTTACCAAACAGTCGAGAAAAGGAAGAGTTCCGTTTTCTTCGACATCTTTGGTAAATTGTATGTGACTGTTCTGTTTGTTGATGTGTGTATGGAAGTCATCAATCTCGTCTGCATGTAGTGCTGTGATTGTGTCATCTGGCGAAACCAAAAGGTATGCATGTTTGTAAGTCATGAGTGCCCGTTCCTCTATAGATTGCATTACAATTTCAGCAACTACAACAAAAACGGGCGAGCCCATTGCTGTCCCATGTAATTGTTTGTAGTGTGTTCCTTTGTATTGGAAGTAAGTCGAGGTGAGGCAGAGCTCTAGTAACTCCATAATGTCTTCTGTCGGTAATGGCAGTACGTCCGTGGTGTTTGTAATGAGGGTTTTTGTACAAGTAAGTGCCAGATTAAGTGGAATACTGGTGAACAGTGATTTCACATCAAAAGACATATATAGTTGTCTGGTATTTGTATAGTGCACAGTTTTAATGAAAGTTTCAGTGGATTGTAGCTTGTTTTGATTTGTTTGTTGTTAGTGGTTGCAGTATGTTAGTCAAGCACTTTGAAAGTTTGGTGAAGAGAATCTTACTATTGAGTCGATGCGTATTGATGGTGTTGAGGTCTTATTAGTAGGTTTGTACAGTACGTTTGTCTGTCGTTAACAAGTGCGTCCATTTTGTTAAAATAATCATTCTGTCCATGCAGTCACGCGTCAGTCTGCTGGTAAAATGACGATGTTGTTGTCGTGTTTAGTCGTTTGAGTGCTTGTTGTTCGTCTTTGTCAAGTTATTGCATCCTATAAAGGACGATTGTAAAGTGGAGGCTATCCTGCTTCTGATCGTCCTGACAAGTCTCTTTGATACGCTAGGACAGCCTCGACACTTGATACTATCGTCTCAGTCGGGATTTGTCTAGGTGTTATGGAATGTTTTAGTCCGTAAGATAGTAGTCGCGTTTCAGTTTCGTCAATGGGCGGAATATTCCTCACCCAGTTATCGTCATGTTTATGTCTTGCACGTGTTTTGGTTTGTTTTAAGACAAGTTTTGTTTGTTGTTTGATTTGGTGTTGTGTCTGATTTGTTGTTGTCTGCCGTATTGTCATTGTGAATTAGTGTGAAGTGAAATATTTTTATTTTTAGTTGTGATGTGTGATTTAGGTGTGATGTTTTTAGTTGTAATGTGTGGGTGTCAATTGTGTATTGTCATTGTGAATTAGTGTGAAGTGAAATGTTTTTAGTTGATCGTTTGTTTGTATTGTGAATAAGTCGTTTCTAAGGTGCCGGTAATTGCTATGATCTGTTCAGGGGGTTTGTTCCAAGTTGGTATACCAACTTTCTAATGTAAGCCGTTATCTATAGTCAGTACTGTAAGTAATGCATTTTGCCGAGTCCCAGTCAATGTTGTGCTTTGTGATTCGGTGATGTTCGGCAATGTGATTAGTTTTGTCTTGTTTCTTGGTAGCTCGTTTGTGTTCAGTAAGTCTTATGTTTGAGTTCCTGCCAGTTTCCCCGATATAGGAGGCGTGGTAGTCGGAGCAGTTTATTTTGTAAACTGCACCTTGTCGTTCGTTGGGTTGTTCTTTGTCCTTTATGTTCGTTAGTACTTGTCGTAATGTTGTGATTGGTTTATGTGCGACACGTATGTTGTATGGTCGTAAGATACGCGAGATAGTCTCAGACGTACCTTTGATGTAAGGTATCGTTGCTGTTGTCACTGAGTTGTTCGTTTCGTTGGGCTCGTTGGGTTTGTAAGTGTTGCGCTTGATAAAGTCAGAGTTATAGTTGTTTTTGTCAAAAACACGTTTGAGATTTTTTTCGTTGTGTAGAGCGTCCGGTGAATCACATATGATTTGTGCACGTCTTGTTAATGTTCTGATTGTAGTGGCTTTGTGTGATGTAGGGTTGTAAGATGATTGGTCTAGTAGTCGGTCAGTATGTGTTGGCTTGCGATAAACTGTTGTTCCTAGTTTTTGATTGTCATGTTTTACCAAACAGTCGAGAAAAGGAAGAGTTCCGTTTTCTTCGACATCTTTGGTAAATTGTATGTGACTGTTCTGTTTGTTGATGTGTGTATGGAAGTCATCAATCTCGTCTGCATGTAGTGCTGTGATTGTGTTATCTACGTAGCGAAACCAAAAAGGTAATGCATGTTTGTAAGTCATGAGTGCCCGTTCCTCTATAGATTGCATTACAATTTCAGCAACTACAACAGAAACGGGCGAGCCCATTGCTGTTCCATGTAATTGTTTGTAGTGTGTACCTTTGTACTCGAAGTAAGTCGAGGTGAGGCAGAGCTCCAGTAGCTCCATAATGTCTTCTGTCGGTAATGGCAATACGTCCGTGGTGTTTGTAATGAGGATGTTCGTACAAGTAAGTGCCAGATTAAGTGGAGTACTGGTGAACAGTGATTTCACATCAAAAGACACTAGTATATAGTTGTCCGGTATTTGTATAGGGCTCAGTTTTTTAATGAAAGTTTCAGTGGATTGCAGCTTGTGTTTTGATGTGTTTGTAAGTGGTTGCAGTATGTCAGACAAGTACTTTGAGAGTTCGCAAGTAGGCGAACCACAAAATGATACAATTGGTCGCATGGGTATTTGTGGTTTGTGAAGTTTTGGTTGTCCGTATAGTCTGGGTGGTCGTGGTAGTGAACATGTGAGTCGATAGTAAGTACATTCAGATATAATTTTAGATTTTCTCATAGAGAAAATCTTGCTGTTAAGTTTGCGTACTAGTGATGGTGCTGGGTCTCGTTTGAGTTGTTCGTACGTTTGTCTGTCGTTAACAAGGGTGTCCATTTTGTTGAAGTAATCATTCCTGTCCATGACCACAGTCACGCGTCCTTTGTCTGCTGGTAAAATGACGATGTTGTTGTCGTGTTTTAGTCGTTTGAGTGCTTGTTGTTCGTCCTTTGTCAAGTTGTTGTCACTTATAGAGGACGATTGTAAAGTGGAGGCTATCCTGCTTCTGATCTCGTCTTTGGTTGTCGCTGACAAGACTCTTTGATACGCTATTTCACATTTCCTGTACACATTTCCTGTACACACAATACAATGACTACCGCTAAGGTTGTCGAAATGTCGTCAGTCAAAAACAACAAAAACAGTCCTTCTCAGGACTATACAAACTTGGACGATCTACATTTACAAACATGAAGTTCTTAAATCTATAAATTTAAAACGATATATCATAAGATTCTAAAGATTGATGACACTAGGTAATATTGAGTTGTTGTTTTTCACCCAAATACTAAATTTCAAATCCAAAATATACTGAATTGAACAAGCAATTTACAAATTTCTCCATTTTGGAAGACAAAACTGAAAAGCAGAGAAAGCATTGATTTGAAAATACAAATGAAGTAAATTTTCCTCGAGCTTACCATTGCCATTGTCAATTTGCTCATTAAGTTTTTTGATCTGATTTTCCAGCATTTTTACCCTCTCTTTGAGTTCCAAGGCTTCTTTTTTATACTTGCATTTATCATTGCAAAGTGCACTACCTTCATCTGACTGACTCTCCTAAATAATCAACAAGAACTTAGGCAATATTTAACAATATATTCCTTTTAGTACCAATTATTAAGGTGTACTTTACTAACAACAAGTACAATATATTATAATGTAAATCTCAATTTTTTTAATTTCATAAGCCACACTGATTGAAAATTCTTTTGTATGATTGCCCTATACAAGCCTTACACTGTACAATGTTTGTATTTTAAAAGATTTTTCCCTTACAAACAAGAAATGAATTTCAAATTAACAGCATTTTATGACTAATGGGAACATATCATAAAGTATTAATAACTTTTTTAGCATTTAACCAAACAACATCCAAATTTTATTCTGAAAAATGACCTTAATTCCCTAGCATTCCCCATTAATAATAAAATTGCATAATTTAGAGATAAGAATAATTAGTGTTATCATTGTGTATAGTACATACCTTGGTTAATCGCTCTTTTATAAGTGAAGCAAGACTGGCTGAGCAGCAAGCCTCTGTTTTCTTTGCCCTGGATGCCTTTAGCTTTTTAGGAATACTGTGCTCCTGCTGGTAACAAGAACAACAATACAAAATTTTATACATGTTGTTTGAAAAGTTTGTTATTAGCTACTACTTCTCATTTAAATTCTTAGGCTCATAGCCTTGTTCAGCAATGCAGACCTTCGAACATAGAATTAGTAGCTAATAACATTTGAATCATGAATACTATATGGAGTACTTAACAAATTTCCATGAATGCATCATCACATTAGTGACATGAGTGCTAACTATAGATGATGGCGGCAATAATTGAGAAACATGCAGTAAACACCATTTAAACAAAATGTGGTCAATGTAATATTTCGAGAAACTCACCACATCATCTGATTCACTATCACTTTCAATTGTAAACTTTGCTTTGTGAATTCTTTTGCGACACCTTTTGCCAGTATTTATAGAGAAAGTTTCTTCTTTTCTCATTGTCTTGAGTAAATAATCTTTACTATCTGTTTATACAAAATAATGGATGACTATTTAACAACTATTAAAAAATAACAATTTTCAATTGGAAGCAGTAGCATGCCTGAAATTATAAGGAAACAACCTTATGCAAAGTTTGGCCTAATGTATTACTACATGTATTTAAGAGCAAGCAAGTTAAAATCTGGGAAATAGACACATCCTTATTGTCAGTATTGTAATTGAACTATTGCTATGTAGAAGAAAGAACAACATTTGAGCAAAGGCTTATTGTAATTGAACTATTGCTATGTAGAAGAAAGAACAACATTTGAGCAAAGGCTTTTTATCAGAAAGTACTTCCCTCCTAAAAAAGCAGTAAGTTGAATTGATAGCAGCAACCTTCATATCAACTATGACTATTTCTACAAACAAGACAGAGAAATAAACAAATAGATTTTAACACAGAAATTTACAGAAATATAGCAAAGCTAAGATGTTTCATGAAAGAAATGATAACAAAGAGAAAGAGCTTGATTCACTAGCAATTAGCTTTATGGCTGAATTATACAAGCTTTTAGAAATTTTACAAAAAATTCTACAACAGACTAAAAATACTAACCTGAAACCTCTATTATCTCTGCAGGAAATTTCCTCGACTTGACGTTTCCCTTTGTTTTTCCATCGCCCCAAATGACTTACGTTTTGAATCCTTTAAGTTCATCTTTGTCTTTCGACATATTTTCATCCTCAAAAATGATGTTAGAATATGGAATGATATCCCATGTATTTTCGTTGTAAAAATTCACCAATGCAAACGCCATATTTTCGAATATTATCGCTGAAAAAGGTTTTTCAACTCCTAAATTATATCCAACAAACGAGACATTCAAAAATGACCGCCTTTGAACAATAAATGTGAAGCGACTATGTGATAAACGAATACGACTATAATTGGCGATACTCGTTTGGACTTTGGGTCTATTTCCTATACACAGTTAAGCCCCGTTCACACGGGGAAATTTTCTTTGACAAATGATACAAACAATGATTATGTGGTTCTCTTAGTTAACATGCGACGCTCTAGTGCTCAACTATCACGGGTATTGGGAGGCACGGACCGAAAACGGGACTTTTTTGTTTTTAAAATTTGTCTTTTTCTTTAGAAGAATTCTTCTCATTAAAGAAACTAGAACGTCCAAGGATACTTTAGAGGTTCAAACAATTTCTGCCTTTTTGAATTATAATTTAAACAAACTCTAAGCATGTTTATACGTTTTTACTTTTACCTTTTACAATGTAACTTCCTCATAGCTCTCTCGTGATGAACGCGAGCCTCCTTATACAATATGACTCTTTCATCATGAACGAAAGCATCCGTGGGCTTCATGGAGGGATTATGTGCTTTGTTATAATAGTTTCTACAAAGAAACTATTATAACAAAGCACATAATCCTGTCAGCATGTGTTGGCTTGCGATAAACTGTTGTTCGTAGTTTTGATTGTCATGTTTTACCAAACAGTCGAGAAAAGGAAGAGTTCCGTTTTCTTCAACATCTTTGGTAAATTGTATTTGGCTGTTGTGTTTGTTGATGTGAGTGAGAAAGTCATCAATCTCGTCTGCATGCAGTGCTGTGATTGTGTCATCTACGTAGCGAAACCAAAAAGGTAGTGCATGTTTGTAAGTCGTGAGCGCCCGTTCCTCTATAGATTGCATTACAATTTCAGCAACTACAACAGAAACGGGTGAGCCCATTGCTGTTCCATGTAATTGTTTGTAGTGTGTACCTTTGTACTGGAAGTAAGTGGAGGTGAGGCAGAGCTCCAGTAGCTCCATAATGTCTTCTGTCGGTAATGGCAGTACGTCCGTGGTGTTTGTAATGAGGAATTTTGTACAAGTAAGTGCCAGATTAAGTGGAATACTGGTGAACAAAGGTTTCACATCAAAAGACACTAGTATATAGTTGTCCGGTATTTGTACAGTGCTCAGTTTTTTAATGAAAGTTTCAGTGGATGCAGCTTGTGTTTGGATTTGTTTGTAAGTGGTTGCAGTATGTCAGTCAAGTACTTTGATAGTTCGTAAGTGGGCTAACCACAGAATGATACAATTGGTCGCATGGGTATTTGTGGTTTGTGAAGTTTTGGTAGTCCGTATAGTTTGGGTGGTCGTGGTACTGAACATCTAAGTCGATAGTAAATACGTTCAGATATAATGTTAGATTTTCTTATCGAGAAGATCTTGCTGTTTAGTTTGCGTACTAGTGATAGTGTTGGGTCTCGTTTTGTTGAAGTAATCATTCCTGTTCATGACCACAGTCACGCGTCCTTTGTCTGCTGGTAAAATGACGATGTTGTTGTCGTGTTTTAGTCGTTTGAGTGCTTGTTGTTCGTCCTTTGTCAAGTTGTTGTCACGTATAGAGGACGATTTTAAAGTGGAGGCTATCCTGCTTTTGATCTCGTCTTTGGTTGTCTCTGACAAGTCTCTTTGATACGCTATTTCACATTTCCTGTACACACAATACAATGACGTAAGACGCAGATAACAAATACGGCTAACCTGACGTTTACTCCTCATTTGACTCTGAAGATGACTACCGCTAAGGTTGTCAAAACGTCGTCAGTCAAAACAACAACAAAAACAGTCCTTCTCAGGACTATACAAACCTGGACGATTTACATTTACAAACATTAAGTTCTAAATCTATAAATTTAAAACGATATATCATAACCTTCTAAAGGTTGATGACACTACGTAATATTGAGTTGTTGCTTTTCACCCAAATACTAAATTTCAAATCCAAAATATACTGAATAGAACAAGCAATTTACAAATTTTTCCATTTTGGAAGACAAAACTGAAAAGCAGAGAAAGCATTGATTTGAAAATACAAATGAAGTAAATTTTCCTCGAGCTTACCATTGCCATTGTCAATTTGCTCATTAAGTCTTTTCATCTGATTTTTCAGCATTTTTACCCTCTCTTTGAGTTCCAAGGCTTCTTTTTTATACTTGCATTTATCATTGCAAAGTGCACTACCTTCATCTGACTGACTCTCCTAAATAATCAACAAGAACTTAGGCAATATTTAACAATATTTTCCTTATTAGTGTACAAACTATTAAAGTGTATTTTTAACAACAAATTACAATATATTATAATGATAAATGTCAATTTTTTATTTCAATAAAGCACTTGATTGAAAATTCTTTTTTTATGATTTGCTTACTGAAAGCACTCTTTTATATTGCTATTATGCTTTGCAAAATATCAAATGATCAAATTTCTTGCACTATTTGCATAATTTCAAAGCGTTGCTATTACATCATGCCTCAGGAATGTGACTAACAGAAATTTATCCTAAAATGGTCGCAACTTTTTAAACAGCGTCGCTATCAATTGTAATATGAAACGTAACATTTTCAATATTATCTGAAAACGCGAAGAGACAAAGTCACAAACTAATACACACTGCATACGTTAACGATGGCGAAGCAAAAGACTGTAGAAAATTGGGAGCGAGATTTAAACGTTAAATTGATCAAAAGTCTTAGTACAGATAAGAAAAAAGTAGAAGCGTTAAAATGTTCTGTCTGTGTGGAATTCTCCTCAACAATTTCTTCAATAGCTGGTTTTTCGCAAGCATGGATAGATGGGACAACATCTGTCAAATTAGATAGCTTGAAAAAACATGTCCAAGGTAAAGCACATCAACATGCAAAACGTCTTTTTGATCAGAAGTCCTTGGGCGAAACTTTTGGCGCACAAGTTGTTGAACGATCTCCAATTGGAAGAGGTTTGATGAAAATGGCAGAGATTGACAGGAAAGTAATGATTACTCGTTTCAACACTGCCTACTATTTAGCCACTTCAGAAAGACCCTATAGCGATAGTGAGGGCATCATTACGTTAAACGAAATAAACGGAATGATTCGCAGTTCCAAATTCCGAAACGAGCGTGCTATGGCAAACACCACTGATTCAATTGCTGACAAACTCAAGCAGAAGCTGATGTCTGAATTGAAGAAAACACGCTATTTTTCTTTGTTGACCGACGGCAGCACTGACAAAGGCGTTTCTGAAATGGAAGTTTTGTATCTCCTTTTTATAAGCAGTGAAGGTAAATGCAATACACCGAACTGAATTATTTCGATTCTTGTCTTTAGATGCGTTATTTCTATTTTTTCAATGGACAGGTATCCCTCAAATAAGGTTTTTAGCAATTGAATCACCTACATCAACAAGTGCAGATGGCCTTAAGAAGATGATACAGGATTGCTTTTCCCGGTTTCACATGAACAATTTCCCAAGACAACTGGCAGCGCTAAAAGTGGGTGGAGCTTCGGTAAATTTGGGTATCATAAACGGACTTGCAGCCAAACTTCGCAAAGACTCCCCATGGCTGCTTACTATTCATTGCTTCAACCATCGCCTTGAACTGGCTGTTAAAGACGCATTTAAAGGAACAGGTATGGTGTCACAACAGTTAGACACATCTTTTGTTTAAGATGTTGAATTTCAGAATAATGTGTTCATAATATATACAGTACTCATTTAATCAGAATTTGACGATGAGCTCCTGACTACTTGTACAAAAGTAAAGCTATCGCGAATTGAAGGGATTCAGCGAGATTTTCGAAAAGAGCATAGCAAAGCCAGCAAAAGCCTTTGGAACGAGATGGATCACCCACAAGTTGAAAGCCATGGAGACCTTTGTTGCCAATTATGGCGCATACATGCTACACATTGAGTCATTGTCCCAAACAGATTCGGTGCCAGCAAAAAGAGAAGAATTGAAGGGTTTTTTGTCAAAATGGACGTATGAAATTATCCTATGCTGATGACAGTATACATTGACATTTTGACGCCTTTGAAGGTAATTAGTATAACGCTTCACTGTTCAGATTTGCTGTCTCATCACAACATATATAATCTGGTGCAAAATTAAGAGTTGTGACTTCTATTTTTAGGTTCTTAGCCTGGGATTCCAAAAGAAAGTTCACGACCCTGTTAAAGCGGTGAAGCGCATTAATGAATTAGAGTGGACTATGGTCAAACTAAAAGAATTGATCAATAAATGCGTTCAGGACGACTCCGAAAAACTTATTAATTTCACACGGTTTTTGAAGGAGTGCGAAGCCACAACGTCCGACGACGGTAAGTAATTGATGAATGAGTCCCTAACTTTACGTACGCTTGAAATGTTTTTTTACACAGTAGAACGTCACCAACCTTTGACAAAACGTCAAAAAATTACCAGGCATCAAGTGGAAGAACTTGAAGACGATAAAGATGAAGCAGGTACTTTTAAATGTTATAATTAGTGTTTTGTAAATGTAATACTTTATGTCGTAACATTGCCTTTTCTGTTTCTGAAGATGTTTCGTAACAAAAAATAAAGCTGAAAGGGTTTAATGCGTCCCGGAGGAAAGTAACGAAAACTTATGAAAAAATGATTAATGCAGTGTCTAGGAGTGTGCAAGGAAGATTTGAAGAGTTCCGAGAAAGTGTGGTGTTTAAAAATCTGCCAGTCATATTGGACTTTGCAATGTGGCGCAAGGACGACGAAGCACTTAAGCGGTATGGCGACAAGGCAATTTTAGAACTGAAAGAGTTTTACCAGGCTTTACTTGTTCAGAATGGATGCAACATTGACAAAGTCGTCTCAGAATGGAATCGTTTGAAGGTTTGAATAGTAAATGCATCGTTTTCCTTTCGTATTATACAGTTGGATAACTGAATATTTCTTCTGCTAGTGCCAAGTCAAAAGCTACATAGTTGGAGCAGAAAAAAAGGAAAAATATGTAAATGTATGGCAAAGCATCTGGGAAAATGTTATAATGCAAAAAGAGTGCAAAAATGTACTGCATATAATTGAATTGTTGCTCATAACACCATTCACGAACGCCAAGGTGGAGCGTTTATTTAGCCGAATGAACAGAATTAAAGACAACTCTGCGAAATCGTTTGAGTACACAAAGACTCGACGCTCAGCTAAGAATTGGTGAAGAAGGATGCCCACTAGCTGAATTCAATGCGGAGGAAGCTCTCCAATATTGGCTGTAGCAAAAGATTAGACGCCCAAATGGTGCAAAACCACGAAAGTATCCAGCAGAAAGGCAATCAAAGTCAGCGTCATCTACAAACGTTGTTGATATTGCAGCAGCTACGCTTTCCGATTTGGAAGAGAAAGAATGCGAGGATTTTAGTTTATAGTTTTTAAAATTAATAAAAAATATTGGCGTAATCATGTGCATTGTAAAAATTGCGAGAGGAAAGTAAATTGGGGGGGGGGGTCGATCGGAACAATACAAAATTTTATACATGTTGTTTGAAAAGTTTGTTATTAGCTACTACTTCTCATTTAAATTCTTAGGCTCATAGCCTTGTTCAGCAATGCAGACCTTCAAACATAGAATTAGTAGCTAATAAAATTTGAATCATGAATACCATATGGAGTACTTAACAAATTTCCATGAATGCATCATCACATTAGTGACATGAGTGCTAACTATAGATGATGGCAGCAATAATTGAGAAACATGAAGTAAACACCATTTAAACAAAATGTGGTCAATGTAATATTTCAGGAAACTCACCACATCATCTGATTCACGATCACTTTCAATTGTAAACTTTGCTTTGTGAATTCTTTTGCGACACCCTTTGCCAGTATTTATAGAGAAAGTTTCTTCTTTTCTCATTGTCTTGAGTAAATAATCTTTACTATCTGTTTATACAAAATAACGGATGACTATCTAACAACTATTAAAAAATAATAATTTTCAATTGGAAGCAGTAGCATGCCTGAAATTATAAGGAAACAACCTTATGCAAAGTTTGGCCTAATGTATTACTACATGTATTTAAGAGGAAACAAGTTAAAATCTGGGAAATAAACACATCCTTATTGTCAGTATTGTAATTGAACTATTGCTATGTAGAAGAAAGAGCAACATTTGAGCAAAGGCTTTTTATCTGAAAGTATTTCCCTTCTAAAAAAGGAGTAAGTTGGATTGATAGCAGCAACCTTTATATAAACTATGACTATTTCTACAAACAAGACAGAGAAATAAACAAATAGATTTTCACACAGAAATTTACAGATATATAGCAAAGCTAAGATGTTTCATGAAAGAAATGATAACAAAGAGAAAGAGCTTGATGCACTAGCAATTAGCTTTTTGGCTGAATTATACAAGCTTTTAGAAATTTTACAAAAAATTCTACAACAGACTAAAAATACTAACCTGAAACCTCTATTATCTCTGCAGGAAATTTCCTCGAATTGCCGTTTCCCTTTGTTTTTCCATCTCCCCACATGACTAACGTTTTGAATCCTTTAAAGTTCATCTTTGTCTTTCGACATATTTTCATCCTAAAAAATGATGTTAGAATATGGAATGATATCACATGTATTTTCGTTGTAAAAATTCACAAATGCAAACGCCATATTTTCGAATATTATCGCTGAAAAAGTTTTATCAACTCTTAAACAAGACATTCAAAAATGACCACCTTTAAACAATAAATACGAAGCGACCATGTGATAAACAAATATGACTATATTTAGCGATACTCGTTTGGAACTTTGAATTTGGGTCTATTTCGTATACACAGTTATGCCAGATCGTGAACAAAGTTCACAGATTTGTGAACTTTTTGCTCTCTTCATAAACATTTCATGAACATTAAAAGTTTGTGAACTTTTTGTGAACTTTTCTAAATATTATGCATTTTTGTATTTTCATCATTTTCATAAAGAATGTATAGATAAATCATAGTTCAATGAAAAATCTTCATAGCTCGACAGTTCTTTCAAAACAACGACGATTTTAAGATAATCCAATGTTTTCCGAATACTTCCGAGAGTTTTCGAATATGTCCGAGGTTTTCCAAAGTTTCCGAATTAATCCGTTAACTTCCGATCTTAAAAATTAGATGTAACATGAACTTTTTGCCATTTTTGTGAACTTTTGACGCAAGCGAGCATGAATATTTCAAAATTTCATATAGCAACACTGTACACACACCACTGCATTCGATGGGCTGCATCAGGCTGCATACGTTCCTCTAATCTTTTTATCTCAAAAAAGATACGTAAATTGGGTTTAATTGTTGTTAATTTTGTGTTGCAACGAAGCGTTTAAACTTGTAAGTACTGTTATACAATTATACCGTTATATTGAGCCACATATCAACTATGCTGTTTATAATTAGCTAACAAATATTTGAATGTGATCGAGTTTTTGTCACTAACTTTAAAAGCATGGACATGCGACTTTTGTCAGGTTCAGAAAATGTTGTAGTAGGACATTAAAAAATCAGAAACTGGGAAACCAAGGTAGAAAAAGAATACACTGCATTTTTTTTAAAATGTTTATATATGAAACATTCTGCTTTATCAAGACATGCCGGACTTTATAATATAATTGCTGATTAGCCCATTTTCTAGTTCTTTGCATTTAATTTTTACAATCTCAGACATCAAGTCTTACTTCTGTCACTGTTTATTTATATGTAGCTGATTGACTAAAAATGCCAAGAAAAAAGTATAAAGAATATTTGTGGGATGACGGAGTTGTAGTTCCAAGAACTACCTTATGGAGAAGTGAACAGTCTTATGAAAATGAAGTAGTAAGAGAACCTTACACTAACAATACATTATCTAAAGACAATTTCATTCAATCAAACAGAGGAGGCTCTGAGCAATCTACCACTGAATCTGATGATGAATTATGGGATTGTTTTGATGACCCTTGTATACCTAATGACCTGGCTGATATTTTCAATAATGAGCATTCCTCTGACACTGACATGTCGGATGTTGTTTTGGAAAGAAGTACTGATCATTATGAAGAAACTACTGAACTTGCAGATGATTTTAGTGATGATGTGGATGATTTCCTTGGTAGTACAAGGTGTGGTGAAGAGCAAAGTTATGGTTTTGAGAGTGGCAGAAACCAGCCTATTTACAAAGATGAAGTTTTGACCCACAATCAGTCCCTTGTTGTTTTGATGTCATTTGTCATGTGTTACATGATAATCCATAATCATGTAAATTATAGTTATTATTGTTATATACTTAAGTATATTATTAGTGCTCTTTGTAAAATGCCTTACTCATACATGCATGTGTATGTTAACCACAGTAACAGGAAAAGCTTACATATCAGACGTGGTCAACCTACTGACCACAGACAATGTACAGGACATGGTTAATCAACTGACCACAGTTTACGCACAAGCGGTTAATCGTACATCATTGTGCAATCACATATAAGCCGAGAATCGAAAGCTGTAGTTATGTTGGTGCTTAGTAGAAGTCCACATCAGAAGAAAGCTCATGTAAAAGAAAACGAACTATTTACGAAAGCAACCAAAGAATCCAGATATATATCCAATCCATCAACGAAAGAGTCACTGAAAGCAGTTGTCTAGATAAGTTTGAACATTTAAACATTTATATTATAAGGTTTATATCAAAAATATTAGTATATTAAATAAATATCTTAGGAATTGACAACAACTTCTCCACAGGGTTTTACTCCTTTTGTTATGAGCAATTGAACCTAAAGCGCCATTTTATTATTAGTCGGGACGTTCGTAACACATGAAACACCAACTGACAGATGAAGCATTAGGTGACTTTCTAAAAATTATGAACTTGCATTTACCAAATGTTGTGCCTAAAACAAAGTACCTCTTTTACAAGAAATTCAATCACCAAAGTTTTGTACACCATTACTTTTGTTAGGAGCGCTCATTTTACTTTGGCCCAAGTGCCATGTGTGAAGTGAATAAAAAGTTCTCATGCTATGTGCCAAGAGATGTGAAAAGTGCAAAGAACAATAAATCTTATTTATCTTACTGGTCGTTACAATCACAACTTGAACTGATTCTGCAGGATGATACTGTTGCCCAGTGTCTACTTAACCAACCTGTAAAGCATCATGATAATGATTTTATAACTGATTCCACGGATGGACATGTGTACAAAAAACTTAAAGAAGTTCATGGTTATGGACCAAATGATATTTTTTCTGCTGTGGAATGCTGATGGTATTCCTGTATTTTGGTAGGTAATTGTCTTTGTTTAATTTGCATGGCTCTTCATATTTGCATTTGATAACATAATGCGTCTGTTGTATGAAGGACAAGAATAATCCAAACTTCATATTGTAGTAATATTCAAAGCTAGTGATTTGAGCATTTGCAATTTTTGTAAAATGTACAAACCATTTATAGTGTATGATGGCCAATGCTGTGTACCATTTTAGAACTGCCAACAGATCTTCGTAAAAAGCATATTGTCTTGCCAGCATTATGGTTTTCAATGTGCAAACTAAACATTAATCCTCTACTGCAACCTTTTGTTGAAGAAACTGAACAGCTGGCAACTAAAGGTAACAACATCATGTGCATATACCTGGTTTCAATTATATTTGGGCAGTTTACCAATATGTTAGACCAAATAATCACAGCGCCAAAAGGGAGCTTGATTGACCACTCCCTCTCCACACTACTTTTTCCCTGAGGTAAAGTTCATTCTAACATTTATATATCTTAGCCTAACTTGATGCAAGGTAAAACACAGTAAGTTTGTCTACAGTAAGTTTAGCCCTACAGGTTCACTTTTGTTGCGCCGTTTTTACCAAACTAGTGAAAGTTACTTGCCCCTTTATTCAATGAATCAAAAAGATATATTTCGTGGTTCTGATATGTTCAATCTTAGCTAAAATAAACTATATCAATTTGTCGTAGGATTCTTATTCCATGGTCATCGTATACGGGTTTTTGCCCCTATTTGCTCTGCTGATGCCCCCGCAAGACCTAAACTGAAAAATACGAAGCAGTGTAATGGCGTTTGTGGGTGCGATTGCTCTCTCCATGCAGGTATACTGTGTTTTATTTTTATCATATGCGAGTTAAACTGTGACATTTGATTCTAACCAAATGTGCAAGTTTACTCTCAACGACATATCTCGCATATTCTTCCTTGTACAGACCCAGAAATGTTTGTCATTTGAGACGGCAAGGAAATTTATCGGGGAAAATTATTTAAGTAACATTCATTCTATGAAATTTGCCAAATACAGATACGGCTTAACTTGTTTCCTTTAGAACTTTCAGACAAATCTTGTCCTTTTCAACTCGTTTTGCCATTGCGAGAATGAATCAAATTGTGCAATGTGCACATGCTCAAATGACTGACATTTCTGCGTCAGTCGTTGATTCAAAACTAGAGTTAAAGCCATGTGATATCATGTAATTTAATAAACAACTTTTAAGCAGGATTATGCTATGCATTGTTTTCATATTATTTGGATACGTTTCGCGTTTTAGGAATACAAGTAGTGCGTGGTAGAGGGAGCACGCGAGTTTATTCATTTGACGAGGCTCAAAAACAACGCACCCATCATGAAATGGAGTTGTGGGCATTAGAAGCTTTGGAAAAGAAAACTGCAATAATGGATGTGAAAGGGGCCAAGTATGCATTCAAAGATTAGTCACTTTAACATGGTTAATGGTTTTGTTCCTGACTTTTTACATTGTGCTCTACTTGGAGTGGCACGTCAATTTGTATCTCTTTGGTTTGACAGCAGTAACCACGAAAGCCCATGGTACATTGGACAGCTTTTCAAAGAAACAATTTATGACTTTCTAATCAAGAACATCGTTGTTCCAAAAGAAGTACGACGGCTTCCAAGATCTTTAACTACACGCGAACGCTGGAAAGGTAATAAATACAAAACGTTTGTTTTGTATTACTCACTTATAAACATGCAAGGAGTTCTTCCAGCACCGTACCTCAACCATTTTTTCCTGTTCGTGAGGGGTCTTCACAAGCTGCTTGGTACTTCTATTTCAAAAAATGACTTGGTAAAAGTTAAAGCTGCACTTGATCTGTTTATTGCGAAGTTGGAACAGCTGTATGGTGTTTCCCATTGTACATTAAATGTTCACCAACTGTCTCCCATGGCTAAGAGTACTGAGATGTGTGGACCACTACGGGCTGTATCAACATTTTTGTTTGAGAGCAACAATGCTACTCTGAAGAATATGATCCAAGGAACACAGTATGTTTCTGGTCAGGTTTGCCAAACGTACGCTGTTTTGAAAACGTTACGGTTGTTCATGAAACAATGTGTGCAAGGAAACGAACTGGTCTCTGAACTTTTTAAAAAACTGGTACATGGAACGTCTTTGACAAAAAAAGCAGCGGAACTGTCGCAGAATCTTACAGCGTTGTGTAAAGCAAAAATTCGTAATGTTACCGTTGAAGAAAGAGTACCATTGACAGGGGCTGCTGGTGGAGTGGTCAACCGAGTTGTGTACGAATACA